GTCTTCTGCGCACAGGGGATGTACGTCACACAACAGGACCACGTGGAAGAGTTACTGCGTCTTCCACTGTGTGCAGCTGTCACATGGGGTGTGCCACTGTGCACTGCACAGAGTCAGAGGAACGCCTCCCCTTCCTCTTCTTTTCCCAACGAGGTCAAATGTCTTTCAACACAGCCTGACATTCCAGCCGAGGTGGCCATGGTGGCTCCTGGCAGTCATCATTGCACTTGACTTTATTAAATGTCATTTACTGAATTGAACTGCGAAGAACCACAGTGCTCTGGTGACCCTATGATGTGTGCCCCTCTCCCAGAAGAGTATGGAGGGCGGGGACTTTGCAGTATGCACGGCTGTGCTCTATCCAGCTGCCCAGGCTGGCCCCAGGGCCTTGATGAAGGGACAGTGAGAGTGAAGGCAGTACAGACGAGAGGTGGAGCGGCACCAGGCACATCAGGCAGTTCCGCACCTGGAGGGAGGAATATGCACTCTGGCCATACCCTGCCCAGTGCTCTCTGAGAGGCAAGGCTAATAAGTAGAGCCTGCCAGATACAGAACTATTCTGATTTCAGGCAATCTACCATCCATAGCACTCTCCTGATAAGACACACAGGACCCAAATCCATTCTGCAAAATGAACTTCTTCATTCCTGAGTGTTAAAGTGAATAGACTTTAAGCCACTATCTCACCAGACCCATTTTGCAAGTAAGGAACCTAAGGTTCGGCACGTTGAGCAACTCTTCCTCTGCCTCACAGCTAAACCAGCCATTCAGCAGCTCAGGGAGAGAAGCCGACTCTCCTGACTGCTGGTTCAAACCTCTTTCTCATACGATTTCATTCTCTCTAAAGTTGACCAAATAAGGGGGAGATACTTCATAAGACAGCTTTTAAAAACACCTAGAAGCTGCAGGCAGCCCAAGATGATACAAAATGTAAGTTCTGTATAGTGATTTACTGATTCTAAGTGGGCACAGTAAAGTCAGCCAACATGGCCCAATTGTTGGACAGTGTGTTTTGTGACTAATTCCTATGACGAGTGGAAGGTGAGTTCGGGGGAAGGGGGGAGAGGGCACACAACACAGTGAAAAACAAGGGTCTGGCTCTATCCCACCTCAGGCACCACCGCAGCCCCACTGTCCTGACAAGGCAGCAGCTTGGCAGCATGCCCTAGCCCTTACCTCCTCCCCACAGGGGCTTCCCCTCACCTGTCCACCAGCTCAGATTCAGCCTATAGCCCCAGACCCCAAAGTCAGGCACATTTCACCCAGAGAAGCACTGAAAGTCCATTAAGCACAACCTTTAGGGCCTTAGTACAATATTTACTGTACTGAGCCAGGCACTGATACTATCCTCATTTATAGACAAAAAAATCAAGATGTACTAGTTCACCCAGAATTGAACTCACAAGGAGGGAAGGGCATTGGGGGCTCTGTCTCTTCACCCATGTTCTCACAGATCTGTGAATTCTGGGTTTTGGTCTCAAATGTGTCCTCCAGTCACTCAGGGCAGCATGGCAGGGCTGCAGGAACATTTGTTTGGCATCAAGCAGATCCACTGGTTTCCCTTATGCCCCTTACCTTCTGTTTAGGGTAAGTACATTATTTAAACAACAAATTTCAGTTTCTGCACCTATTTAATGGTAAAGTAGCCTTGGCTGGTGTGGCTCAGTGGACTGAACACCAGCCTATGAACAAAACAGTCACTGGTTTGATTCCCAGTCAGGGCACGTACATGCCTGGATTGCAGGCCAGGTCACCCAGTAAAGGGGTACTTGAGAGCCAACCACACATTGATGTTTCTCTCCCTCTCTTTCTCCCTCCCTTACCTTCCCTATAAATAAATAAATAAATAAATAAATAAATAAATAAATAAATAAATAAATAAAATTTTAAAAAAGTTTAATGGGCCCTGGCTGGTGTAGCTCAGTGGATTGAGCGCGGGCCTGTGAACCAGAGGGTTGCGGTTCAATTCCCAGCCAGGGCATATGCCTGGGTTGCAGGCCAGTTCCTAGCAGGGGACTCACGAGAGGCAACCATACACTGACATTCACTCCCTCTCTCCTTCCCTTCCCCCCTTAAGATAAATAAATAAAATCTTAAAAAAAAAAAGTTTAGCCCTGGCTGGCGTAGCTCAGTGGATTGAGCGCAGGCCTGCGAAGCAGACAATCGCGGTTCGATTCCCAGTCAGGGCACATACTGGGGTTGCAGACCTGTTCCCTGCAAGGGACGCACAAAAGGCAACCATACATTGATGTTTCTCTCCCTCTCTCCTTCCCTTCCCCTCTAAAGATAAATAAAAAAATCTAATTAAAAAAAAAAGTTTAATGGTAAATAAAGTAAGAGAGGCACGATGCCTGGCACATAGGTGCTAAATCTTAGCTACTTTCCCACTATCAATTCAAAATGAATTCAAGTTATACCAGAAAAACTTACTTTTTATTTAAGTTGACAAGAGCCTGTTGTTATAGAGAAAGGGGCCAAGACATAGACGTGGACGGGAACAAAACGAGGAGGACTTCCTTTTCTCCACTCTTTCCCAAACTCACTGCAACGTTCTCACAACCCTTAAGACTAAAACTGGCAAGAACGGTAAGTAATGAAAAAGGAACCTCCAATGACTGGACTGTGATAATTTCTTAAGCCAAACAAAAATTATATTTTTCGGAAGATAAAAACTAAAAATGCCAGTACAGAAATCCTTACTTAACATCACTGATGAGTTCTCCACTTCAAGTGAAACGACATATAATGAAACCGATTTTACCACAGGCCGACTGATATAAACAAGAGTGACGTTCCAAGGGCATCTCATCAAGATGATAACAGGAATGGAATTTGAGGACTTGCTATATTGTTCATTTCCTTACCAATCTACACTCACCACCCCAACTGGAAATTTCCATAGTGTGTAAAACAAATGCCACTCTAAGGATGCTTTTCAAAGGTTAGGAGCATGCTGTCACATGACCTTTTCTGACTGTTAATGGAGATGTCAAGGGAACAGAGGTAGCTCTGAGGCATAAGGAGGGGGACCTTCTGGGGTCCTGGGTGTACAGAAGTGCATCCCAAGGACCCTGGTAGCCCAAGCTCAGAGCACAGTCAAGGGGAGCTAAAGGCCCGATGCTGGCTGGGAAATTCTGTGAAGAAAAAGGGACACAACACATTCCCTAGAAGCCACCATTTCAGTATAGCTTTATTATTTTACTTAAAGAAGTATTTTCTTGCTAAGAAACTGCATAAGTCACAAGAAGTACAAATTCTAACAAACTTCCACTTTACTCTACTAACAGAAAGGCAACTGCTTCTCCAAGCCACACACTGGGGACAGGAACTAATAACAGAAGCACCAAGGACCTGACTGGTGGCTAATCCAGGAAACCTTTTCCCTCCGAGCAAGTCCTACTCAACTATGCAAGTGAAAGCAATTTCCCCTAATTACCTGTCAGAAATGTAACTGACCACTCAAGTGTTAGCACCTTGAACATAGGTAGCCATTAACAGGTGAGAGCGCTTTCACACCAGCGCCTCATCTCATCTCAGCTGCTATACTTCAGAGGGTGGAGCAGTCACTGCTGTTTCTCATTTCACAGGTAAGGACGCCTCTGATAAAAGCATATTCAAAAGGTCAAGTGAGTAGACCAAGGTCAGAGGGCTAGGGTGACAAGGTTGTATATTCTGACTCTACTCCAGATTCAGGGCTTCTGAAGCTACAAACACTCTTAAGAACACCCCGAGAGCTTACACTTGATAACTTAAGATACACCTGTAACTAGGAATGAAAAACTATTTTTTACAAAACAAAGCCAGGAAAACAAATCAATATTTTCCTACTCGATCAGCAACTATCACATCCGAAATAAATTTATGAGGCAAGCTTTAGTTTCTGGAATATACTAAATTACCTTATACTTACATCTTAAGCGCTACCATCAAAATTCTTTACCGGAAAGTAAGGCCATGATTTCAGAAGCCAGTCTTCAGTTGAGAATGAGATAGAAAAAGGCAAATTTAACCACATACATTTAACAGAGATCTATCTGTAAAATGGGTTCTAGCATCTAAACTATTTCCTTTTTAAAACTATCAGGACCATCTAATAAATTTAAAGGACCATTTCCTAAGGAGATAAATTCAAGTGTTTTCATGCAAAACTCACTGGAAATTTACATTATATTTGCTATCTACCAAAGTACTACAAACTTGGCCTGAAACAAAAGATGTTAAGAGCAATTCACTTGTACAATTAAGGAAAAGCAAAATGCTAAAATAAAAACAGATAAAAGCAGAAAACAAGGAAAACCAGCACATCAAGAGCAAAACTGACACGTGGTTTTCTTATTATTTTGGTAGGGACCCCAGAAAAGCTCTAATATTCTCAGTTGCCCCAGAATACCATGACAAACAGGCTGTTGTTCTTTTAAGTCAGACCACAAATGTTTTTACTACCTGCTACCCTAGAAGAGAGACTTTCTACAGCACAGAAACCTTGTCTTGAAGCCTTTAATAACTTTTGAGCCTAGAATACTTAAGCAGAAGATGAAGAGGCCAAGTCAGACCCAGGGGGATATTTCTGGCTTCTTATCAATCTTCTCCCAAATGAGCCAGTGTTTAGAAACTTCCCCCAAATGAGTTTCTAAAGCCCATTCCTTTGTTGTATTTCCATCTGACATCCGGCAAAGATACCATAGGTATTTTCTCTCTCCATTTCTCAACTATTGTCTGCTGTACAAAATAGCCTAAATCATCAATGATCCTTTGAGGGGGTTCAGGAATGAACCTTCAGGAATCCATTGTACTTGCTCAAAGAAAGGATACTTAACTGCCTCTTACTGCATAGTTTAAATACGGGAAAAAGCAGCCTGTTTGGAGAAGAAAAAGAGCACGTCCCCTCCAAGAGTGCCTCCCCAAATGTGGGACAATTGCGGGAGTGGGATCAGGAGTTGCAGTGGAGGCCCAAAGGTAAACACAGGGCACACCCTGGGAAGGGGCTGGGGCCCCTATACCTTTTCCGCGAGGCCCAGAGCTGCTTGCGTTGCTGCTCCCCGTGGCGCCTGACGAGTCCTTCCTGAGCCTTTTGCTCTGTGGCCTCACGCTGGACCGTAGGAAGTGGTGCTGGTCCTGGGGACAGGAGGGCGGTGGGGACGGGGCCTGTGGGCCGCCCTCAGGGGCTGGGGGGCCGCCGCTTCGGGGGGTCTTGCTGTCCCTCTTTGTGCCACCGCTGTCTTCGGCCGCGTCCCCACCGCCGGCCCCCTCTCCCTCCAGTGCGTCTTCATCGGCTGCCCTCTTGCCCAGCCTCTTGAGCCCTTCCTCCCCGCCGCCGCCGTCTCCCAACTTCACTGTCATCCTGCAGGAGAGGAGAGGGGCCCTGGTGAGGCCGGCACAGCCTGGAGCCGCCGCGAAGTTTAGCCGCCCGCCTCCCTCTCAACATGGCCGCCGTTGTTTGTTCCAGGTCCTCCCACGGCCCGCCCGCTGCCAGCCGACCGAGTCAGCCACCGTGGACCCCGAACCTCAGCCCAGACCCCCCACCCAGACCCCGTGGCCTAGGACACGGAGGCGCCACGGGAGGCGGGCGGCAGCTCCGTGGCCGCGCCCAGACGGCCATGCCCGCAAGGCGCCCCAACCCGTCGGGGTCGAAAGAGATCCGGGGCCCAAAGGGACCCGGGGCCCGGGATTCAGGGTTCGTTTCTTGGGTCCCAGGGTTGCAGCCCGAAGCCACTTACCCAGCGGGGCCGCAGCTCACGGCCTGCGAGGCGAGCAGCCTGCACACCGGCCTCGCTCCCTGGGCTGCCTGGGCCGGTCGGGCCTCGGCGCCCTCGCCCCCCGACTCCACCCCTTCTCGACCTCGAAAAGGCGCGTGGCACCTGGCCAGCGCACCTGCCCCGCACGCCGGCCCCCAGAGTTGGCTCTAGAGCTGTGAGAGGGGCCAGGATCCACCCTGGCAGGGGAGAGGCGCGGGCTCACCTGCGTGCACAGAGAACTCTGTAGTGGCCCGTGGCTGCCTGTCCGCCTGCTTAATTTAAGCAGGCACATAAAGAAAAATAAATTCAGGATTTTTGGGAATCTTGCTTCCCAGGGTGGGATGTGTGCCGCAGCGGGGATTTACAAATTTAAAATGTTTTTTCCCCCCCGCAACAAAGGAGCCTGTTGCATGGAACAGGTTGGATCCACCCATGAAAGGGGCAGCACAGTTATGTCCAGGTCCAAATGCAAGAATGGGTAGGACAAAATTGTGTTAAAACTCTTGGTATCCACTAATAAAATGCTTGCATTAACTTTGTTCCCCACAACTGTGTGAAATGTCCACAACAAAATGTGATGACTGAAAATGCAGCCCAAGATCCAGACCCACTCAAAAATAAACAGAGGTAATCAGGCACCTATCCACATTATAAGCCCAGAAACAGTAATGTGTACATGTGATGTAGCAAGAAAGAGAAATGTTAGATTCCTCAACAGGTGTTGATGCTGTGCCCAAACTGTATTTGACAAGCTCAACACAACTGAGGATAGAAACATCACCATTCCATTAAAAAGAAAACGAGAGCAAGGCATCAAGGCTAATAAAATGGAGTAACAACAAGGGCAAGCAAGGACCTTTCATAAAAGGTTTGTACATGAGTAAAACAGTAGTACCTACTACTGCTCTGACATACTGTCACAAAAAAAGTCTCTAGACAGTTTTCGTCTGTTGTATATATGTCATTAGAATTCGCTGTAGTTAAACTACACAAAGCAAAACAAAACACTGCTAAGGAACAAAACCACACAGGACAAATACCCAAACTTAAAGCACTTCTCACTATTCATGTCTCAACCTATCAATTTCTACTTAAGAAAGCTGGAAGTATACCAAAGAACCTTTTTCTGGTGTATAACGTGGAGAACCCCACTTCCCAGGGGCCTATCATCCCAAAGCTACCTACCCACAGTCAAGCCAGGGCTTCAGGCAAAGCATTCATCAACCACAACAGAATAATTTGCCCCTTCGTCAGATTGAATGTTAGACACTAAATTGAACATAGAAGGACACGGCTTTTCAAAATTAAGAAGATATCGATACATTTTACAGTTTTCCTCTAAGATTGAGGGGAAACACGAGAATGGATACCTCTTACCAAAACTTCCAACATTACTCCTAGAACGTGCTCAGAGGTGGAATCACCTCAACCCCAATCTCTGCTCGACGCCGTTTGTCACATTTCAGTTAGGAAAGGGCAAAACTCTCCCTTTGGGGGCCGATTTCTGGCTGCACACAAAGCACGCTGTCAACACAACACTTCTCGGTCCCCAAGCCGCTCCGACATAGCACCGCGAGCGTAACCACCGCTGCAAGGACGCAGGCCGCTCGCCCGCAGTTCCGACCCAGCGGGGAGCTCGGCCTTGCCACAACAGCCGGTGGACTACCCTTTTCAAACTCCAGCCTCTGGTTACCTTTTTCATCAATGTCTCGCAGCACCCTGGCTTCCCCGGCCCCCGGGGGCCTACCCGGCGCCCTCAGATCTGGCCGGGCGGGGCAGCCCCGGGCCCGGAGCGCCGGCTGCACTGAGTCTGCGACGCTGGTGTGGTGCTCCCACTTCGGAAACAGTCACTGGGTGACGCTCGCCCCAGCACGTCCCCTCCGCAGCCGGGGTACGGCTGACTGGGCTGCGGGAGCCAGTGCAGCCACCCCTCAGCCTCCCGGAGACCCAGCCAGCCGCGCTCAGCAGTTCCGGCTACGGCGGCCGGCTGAGACCGCAGGGGCGGAGCGCGGGGCGGGACACTGTAGGCGGGTGCGCGGGGCGGGGAGGGGCGACGTGCGAGGGGGACGAGCACGTCCCAAATTTTCAGCGGGCGCCCCCCGCAAGAGCGCTCTCATTGGCCAGTTGCGGGCGCGAGCGCTAGCACGCCGAGACGCTAGGTAGGGGCGGGAGGGTAGTCTCAGACGCAAGTAATGTTGTGACACCACCTCGCGACTTTGCGGTTGATGCGTCTCTCCGGATTGGTGAGTCGGCAGCCAATAGAGTCAGCGCCTTGGATGTGATTGGTCGGGGCTGTATGACGGATGCGTGAGAAGAAAACACCGCTCCGAGAAAACAGCTTCGAGTGTTGAATACGGCGCGAAAGAAAAAGTATGGAAATGTAACTGCGGCGCATAAACGCACGCTTACTTGCGTTGAGTGTGTGCTTTTGAAGACTTTGGGCGTAGCGGATGGTGGTGGGCACTTGGGCCCTTTTCTTTAGTTCTATTATTTATGTGTGTCGCGGGGGTAAGAGTGATGGTGTTTAAAGATGCAAACTTAGTAGGGAGTAGTAAATAAGCTAGAGATCAAATGCACAGTATGATGAATACGGACATGGCTGTATCGCAATTAGTAGTATGATAAATAAACTGGACAGTCATATTACAGTATATAAGTGTATCGAAGCAACATCACTGTATACCTTAAGTTTACACAATATTACAAATTTACTCCTTAAAAACTGTTGATGAAAGTGGGGTTTTTAAAAACAATCTTCCTTCCTTGTAGGCTCCTATCCCTACTCATCCAGTGGTGTCTACATTTTCCTCTAATTCTTTCAGTTGTTTTACAATGAGAACCTTTTTGCTCTTGTAACTTTTTTTTTAATGACCTGGCATTGCTTTGTTTTTCCAAGTTTATCCCCACCGGTAAGGTCAGAGCGCACGTTGTTAATGCCTTTCGGAATACAGTCTGCCCCCCACAAATCAGGTTGGTTTCCAATGGATGGGATGAACCCGTGTCGTTGGCTAGCATTTTCTCGACAAAGACATCCATATGGCCCCCAAAGCATTGAATGCACTCATGTGATCAATTTCTAGTAACTTCAAGGAAGTATGTCGAATCAATTGCCTTTTCTCAGAATACTCTTGAACCACCACCTCTTCCTTGAGATCAGACGAAGCGGAGCCTAGAAACGGTCTTGGGTACCGAAGACCTTGCAATAAGTTTAACAAGAGTAGTCTTGAAGAAGATGGCGTTCCGTTTCTCCCCTGCAGTCTCGGCTGCCTTCCTTGACCCTCTGACAGACTGACGCGGTTGAAAAAGTGTAACTACCGCAGCAGGTCCCGACAGACTTTGCATCGCCTTCAACCCTAGAATTTCACCAGTTCCCTTCTCAGCGCATAATGTCATACTCAGGCCTCTTGGCCCTCTTTTCCGAGCTAGCGTTGCTGATTACTGATGGCTGGGAAGGGGAAAAACTATCCCTGGAGACCGTGGACCTGGCCGCGGGAGGGAACCCGCGGGGTAAATCTAGCCCTCCGAGCCGCACGAACGTTTCCGATCGTTTTCGGCTCTTTCCGGCGTCTCGAGGAGCTTCGGGGAGCCTCGGTGTCTGCGTCGCTAACCTCGGCTGTTTCCGCTTTCGGCGAGCAGCCGTTGTCCCGGCAACGCGCGGCGGCGCAGTGGCCCTGGGCAGGTGAGAGCAGCCTAAGGAAAGGGCACCTGGGGACCGAGGGTGAGGGGTCCGTGAAGTGAGAGGTCTAGGGACTGGGACCCTGGAGGATGGCGACGACGAAGTGGGATCGAGGTGGGGCTTGGGTGGTGCCGCTGCTTCGGGGCCGGGAGGAGGGCTACGACCTGGCGCGAGACCGAGTCCAGCGGCCTCCGGAGTTATTTCGTCCGGAAATCCGATCTTGGCGCGTCTAGGCTGTGAAGAGATGGCCACCTCAGGCGCAATTCAGATCCTTCTGAGGGCCGCGAGATCATGCGAGCCTCGGGGGAGTTGACTGGATAGATGGGTGGGGTACGCCGGCAGAGCACTGGGTATCTCTGGGCAAGGAGAAAATAAGCCACTTTTCTGCCAGACGCACCGTCCCAATCAGCGAAGGCTTTCCTTCCTGTACCGGAGATGTAGCTCCGACCCTGCCGGTCCCCAGGCCTGGGGCCAGTAGCCTGGAGGGTGCGACTTTACGAAGTAGCCCCTAGCGCCTGATTCCCACCCCAGCCCACTCAGCCCGTTTTTCCAATTATTTCCGACTCCCTTGTGCAGCATCTCCAAACAGTAAAGCAACTTGAATTAGCCTTAGTACCGTGAAGCCCTCGGTTGAATGATTCCCAAAAGTTGGTTTAGTAGAGGCAGTAGAGATGTTGGATGGTTGGAGCCAAGAGGAGTAAATTGATTAGAACAAATGAAACTTTTTTCTCTCCCCCAAGTTTATATATATTTAGCAAATGCTTTTAATGCTCCAATGACCCTGAGTTTGTTTTAAGGAAAAGAAGTTCACTTGTTTCTGAACTGATGCCATTAGTAGATGTCATTGGTAATGATTTTGTTATAGTCATTTCTCCCTGTGTTTACTCTGGTAACTTTTGTAGTTATGCAGGTGATACACTTATTCAATGTAGGAAAATGTTAAAATTCAGATGTAAGAAATGGTAATAATACATTGTATAAAAAGGGACTCATTCTCTCTGGTCTGTAAGACTCATTCTCTCTGGCCTGTAACCCAATTTTTACAGCTAACAACATCAAGAACATCTTTCCATGCTAAAAAAATATCTTCATCACTTATTGGGGCCTGTTCTGTGCAAGCCATTGTTCTGGGGCCTGAGGATGCTCCAGCAGTCTCCCACCCTGTGGGGCAGATAATCTGGTAGGGAGTGGAGGGTGGTCGATCAAGTACACATGCAGCGACGGAGAAGTAAAGGGTTCTATGGTGACACAGGGCAGAAGCACCGAACAACCTGGAAGTTGAGTCCAAGAGCTCCCTGGAGGAAATTCGGAGGTTTCCTGAGTATCCAAAGGAGGGGTGTGGGGAAGAGAGCTGCTGGAAAAACCTCAAGCAGCAGGAAATAAGTAACGGGAAGATCTGTTATCATACATGCTTATTACAAAATGATGTCTGAAGTAAAAAATACAGAGAAAATCAGGTTTAAATATTTCAAGTGCCATTATAATTTTTTCTCCTTCATTACAACAAGTTAGGTAACATTTCTCATTTTGCAGAGGAATATTTTCACAAAGTAAACTTGTTAAATATGAATATAAATCTCCCATAGCCCAGAATTTAGACACTTGCTTGGCTGCAACATGTTAAAACCCACTTTAAAAGGTTTCCTTTGCTATATTAAATCACCAGGTGTTTATCTAGTGTGTTTTCATTTTTAATGGCTTTGTTTGAAGTTTTGCATAGGACTTTTTACTCAAAGAAATTAGAGCCCTGACTAATGTAGTTGTCCCCCAAGACAGCAGCCCCCAACCTTTCCAGCACCAGGGACCAGTGTCATGGAGGACAGTAGTCAGAGCTCAGGCAAGCTTCCCTTGCAGCCCAGTTCCTAACAAGCAATGGACCAGTACTGGTCTGTGGCCCAGGGACTGGGGACCCCTGCCCTAAGTGGTGTGTGTGTGCGCATGCGCAGAGGACCCGTAGATCCTGTCCTTCCCCGCCCCCCCCCATTCCAGTCCCCACAGCCCTCTGCTCCTCCCGCCAGTCCCTGGCTGCTCCCACAGAATCCCCGAATGGGTGCTAGGCCGTTTGTGTAAGAGCACAACTTCGAAAATTGTGCCTTTGTTCAGTATTCAGGGTATATACTCACAAGAAGAAAGTAAACATTTGAAATGTGACTGTACATTTGTATCCACATGCTTTCCAGCTTCCCCGAAGGGATTTCCTTCTCTGAATCCACACCGAACTTTTAAGACTTCCTCTGATACAACTATTGTATTACTCAGCCAATAGCATAGTCCATTCCCTACCATGATAGAATGATAGAATTTTGCAGGTGTTGAATAATTTTTTGCACTATTTTTTGTTGTGGCTAAAAATGCACGATACAAAATTTATCATTTTAACCATTTTACTTATAAAGTTCAATGGCATTAAGTACATTCATCTTGTACAACCATCACCACCATCATCTCCAGAACTTCTTTCATCTTCCCCAACTGAAACCCTATGTACATTAAACAACTGCTCCCCCCACCTCACCCACCCAGCCCCAGCAGGCACCAATCTACTCTCTGAATTTGACTATTGTAGGTACCTCATATGAGTGGAATCATACAAGTACATTATTTGTGCTTTCGTGTGTGGCTTATTTCACTCAGCATAATGTCTTCTAGGTTCACGCATGCTGTAATGTGTCAGAATTTCATTCCTTTTTTTTTTATCCTTCCCCAAGGACATGCTTATTGATTTTAGAGAGGGGGGACAGGAGTGGGGAGAGAGAGGGAGAGAAACATAATTGGTTCCCTCTTGTATGCGTCCCTAGCAGGGATCAAACCCACAACCATGGCATGTGCCCTGACCAGGGATAGAACCAATGACTTTTCGGTTTGTGGGATGACGCTCCAACCAACTGAGCTACATCAGCCAGGGCAGAATTTCATTCCTTTTAAAGGCTGAATAATATTCCATTATATGTATATATAATACCACATTTTGTTCATTCATTCATCCATTGATAGGCATCTGGATTGTTTCTACCTTTTGGCTACTGCGAATAATGCTGCTCTATATATTTGTGTCCAAATACCTGTTCAAGTCCCTGCTTTTCTCAATTCTTTGGGTGTATACCCAGAACTGGAATTGCTGAATCATGTAGAAATTCTATTTTTAATGTTTAAGGAATCACCATATTACTTTCCAATACTGGCTGCAATCCTTTTCATGTCCACGTGTTCCCATTTTTCTACCCACCTCCAATACTTATTTTCTATTTTTCTAATAATAGCCATCATGATGGTTATGAAGTCACCCCACACATACTCTGTT